GGGGAGGTCATTCAATGTCAATGCCTTGGAATCTTTGGAAAAGAATCTGAGTCACCTGCCAGCACAACAGACAATTGAACACACGCGAAGTGACGGAACACAAAACACAATTTTAATGTCATTGATTCAATAGCCTTTTACCCCCCAAACTGAAATTGGAACGACTGATTTTCCAAACAACGTATCCCACTGCTAATGCAGGCTTCAGATCCTGTATCAGTGCTGTGCCACAGAGGTGCTCATACTTTTAAAATACGAGACCCATCTTACCTGTCAAATTTATAGCTTTAAAAACATATTATGAGAAGCAAGAAATTGATAAAATTAACTGAATCCCTCATACTTTCACCTGCAGACCTGTTCATTAAAATGGTGATAAACCACTGTCTTATCCTCAAGGAAATAAGTTAATTTACAGGTTATGTAACGATGAAATGCAAACGCCACTCATTGCTGAGTATCAGCCATCTAAGTATGGAAAGTATGGCGTACATTTCAAAACGTGTAGACAACAAATACATCAAACGCTGTCTGGAAAGAAGCCAACTTGCAGAACTAGTACCCCTCCTCTAACCTGCATCAAACACTTTCGCTTGCTACCCAGCAAGGAGGTCACAACAGTCATTTGGGCACTCACGCGAAATGAACGATGCAGAATGGGGGGGAGTTAATTTGAACATTCCTCAAAATCAACAGTTTTCCGTTACTAGAAGTTGGTGGCCATTATCTCCCCACCCCCACCCCCCACTTCGAAGTTGCTTCTTCGAGAATGAGTTACACAATCTTGGAGACGAACTTGAGGCTGCAGGGTAATTATTGACACTGATTCTGAACTTACACAACCAGAATGCATTTACCTGTTCACAGCCACACATCTTCAACCAATCAGACGATAAGTTATTCTTGTGCTTTCGGAATGGTTTGGTTGTTTCGTTTTTATTCTAATGCTTACAGAGATGTTTTGGTTTACTTTAAAAAGATACTGTAAGTTAATGAGCCACACTTGTGCTCTTGTCGGTAAGCCTTCACTCCATATACCATACACTCAGGTACAGTGCTTCAATCACTTCACTTCACTGTTGGACGGGAACATAAGTTTTGACGCCACAACGTGGGATCACGAGCAGGTCATCCAGTTACACGTGCAGTGGTAACAGGGCTGCTGCAAGGGAGCGGTCGGGATCACGGGTGCATAGTAGTAGCCGTTAGCAAACAGCAGGGCTGTGGGGGGGTGATGCTGAGACAGCAGGCGTTGCTGTTCCTCGCAAAGCACGAGGTACGCCAACTCCTCGATCAGAGACAGGGTCTGGCGTCGCTCGTGGCCCATCAGGCAAACAGTCGACTCCTCTACCACACTGTGCAGCAGCATGAGATACCGGTACTTGAGACTCTCCTCGTCGGGTCCCACGAAGTGGTTCCACAAGTAATTCTCAAGCTTCGCCCTCTGCTGACAAATATCAGAGAAGTCTATGAAGAACCGGGAGCACATGTATCGCTCCAGAGTCTTGATATAGTCGGGCCTTGCCGGGCGGTACGCCTTCACCAGCAGGTTGCAATACTTCAGAAGCCCTCCTCCACGGATCTCCTCAGGATGCCGTGTGGCGATCAGCTTCTTGTGCAGATGGTACAAAGCCTCTTGGAAGTCTCCGTACACGGATTCGCCCACCACAGTCGGGTAAAAGTTCTCGCCTATAGGAAGTTCGCTGCACTCGTAGAACAGGAGCAATGAATCCAGGATAATCTGGAAAGAGTCCACGGAAAACTCGAACTGGCGCCTCATCGAATCCACGAACTTCAGTTCCACATTCTTGTGTCCGCGTGAGTTGCCGAGAGAGATGAGCGACCACCGGTCCCCATCTTGGTTCACTTTCACCATCTTGCTCACATAAGCCTCCTTGAGGCTGCAGGTGGTGATGCGCTTCCGGCTAACGCCTTCCGGTAACAGATCGAACAGCGAGCCAAGCACGGCGGTTTTGACGCGATCAAAGTTTCGACCCCCGGACAGTTCGACTCCGAATATAAGGTCCAGGTCGTTGTACGGCTGTGACTCAGTGGCGAGGACGTGCGACGCCGCGCCGCCGTTTAGCCGGATGTCGCGCACGCGCATACCGGCGCCGCCAGACGTGGTTTCCGCCTCCAATTTCGCGCGAACTACAGTCACCAAGTCGCGCAGACGCACCTCAAGAGTGGGGAAGTTTCCACGGCCATGGATGCTGACGACTTCGTCCATCACGTCATTGAGGCGTCGCACTTGTTCATAGCTCAACACTGCAAGTCTTTGCTGCCCCCCTCCGCCGCCACCGCCGCCCACATTCCCGGTGCTACTGTCCTCATTGCAGTTCTTCACGTTTCCTAGGGACTCCATGATAGTCACGTGACGCCGACAGTCCTCACCAATCTGCAATGAGCCACACTGAAAGAAAAATTTACAAAGTTACACTCGGGCAAAATGAGGATTCACGGTTGCATAAAGCGATGTATTCGGACACCTGCACAGGTTTAAGATTTTTTTTTCAACTGTTACTGCATATATACCAATATCATCACCAAAGTTATTAGCACGTTAACTGTGAAATATCAGCAGTTTCATTACTCTGAATAACAATTACTTTCGTTCTTCAAAGAAAAAAAGCTAATTTTATTAATCATGTATAAGTAACTTAGTCGCATTTGCCTTTGACAATTGTTTACCAATATTGGTTACGTTATCACAAATTCTTACTTTCATTGCTGCAAAATGCCGTTCTACTTACTTACGTTGTTTGAAAACTGTAATATCGTACTACTTCCGTCCTTGCGAGATAATAAAAACTGTAATGATATCTATTTCCTGATTCCCTCGAGTCATACAGACACTCAAAGTCGCTGGTTTGTGGCCTGTCAGGTCAGTTAAATGGGGGAATGGCACTGCACAGAGGACTGTATAAATAGCAGTTAAACTGGGCAGTAACATATGCTACATAAACACGAGCTTTTAACACTAACACAGATACGTTGGGTTTATACCCAGTATAATATTTAAAACAACCCAACAAACAGCACCATTAATCTTAAGACCCACAAGCTTAAAGGTATTAAACTATATAAATTCAGCCCAGAATAATTTCAGATTACATAATCTTCTCGGATTCACTCAGCCACTTAAAAATTTTGGATATAAAAAAATGTGACATGGTTTACTCAAAACCACATCTTCAGCGACGTCACACCATAATTTCAAGCAGTTTAACAAGAAAGAACACACGAAAACTAACCTTGCTTTGCAAGCTGTCAACGCCAGTGACAGCAGAAAGCGAACCTCTTTGACCAACGCTGAAAACCAACTTTACTTCGCAACAGCCGCTGCAGGACTGATTCAACTGCTGGCCGATCTGTGTTGCTAGGCAACGCAAGCAGAGTGAAAGGAATAGTGACGTCAACCAATAGCAGCACGTCTACTTGTACCCATGCGATAATGTGGTGCAACCTCGCGGCGGGTTGCAGAAAAGAAGCACACTGCACATATATAAAAAGATCGTCCTGTGACGTCATACGGCGATGCGTGGGTGGAACCAGGTTACAATCTCGGGATTGTGTGGGCGGTTGAATAGGGGCGCAGCTCGGGGTTTTCTAACTTTAACCACCAACGTTTTCT